TTTGCATCAGAATTTTATCTTACTTTTTTTGTCCATATAAATATCAGCATCACCAAAGTGCATATTTTTGAGCCTCTGAATAAAATTAAGCAATTTTCCTTCTCGAGTTTGAGCTCCAAATTCTCTCTATATCACACAATATGAGCCATAAAAGCCTGATGTATCAAATATGAGTACTTTTTTTGTGTGTGTCTTTTCATCTAAAGGTTCTATTAAAAAAAAAAAGTGGATTTCAGGCTTTACAGGGTTAATATTCTCCTGGAGCATTATGGTTCATACAGTATCTTGATAATAAGTTCATAATATGGTGTGTGTGTGTGAGAGTGTGTTTTCCTCACTGTAGGTTGTCGTTCTGATTGGCAGTGGTGTCGGCGTACGTCTTCAGAGCCTTCTGGAACTCCTCGACATCATTCTCTGTCACGCTCATCTGTCTCTGCACCAGCAGAATGTTCTGGAGAAACACAGAAACACACACACAGAAACACACACACAGAAACACACACACAGAAACACACACACAGACACACACACACAGAAACACACACACAGACACACACACACACACACACACACACACACACACACACACACACACACACACACACACACACACACACACACACACACACACACACACACACACACACACACACACACACACACACACACACACACACACACACACACACACACACACACACACACACACACACACACACATCAAATATGACTAATGGAGAACGAGAACTAATGCTAGCTTCTGGTTTCAAGCCGAACATCTGATCGTAATGCAGAATCTGTTTATCATAACTCATCCACCCTCATGTCCTTGTGTATAATATAATATTTTATAATACACTGAAAGTGCTGACACTGTCCCTTGTGAAAAAGAAGTGTGTTTAATTATACTGAATGTGCATATTTTTGCAGGTAATATAATATTAATGAAATAAAAGTACTTAGAGAGTTCACATTCATGACTTTGGTTCATATCTCATTTTAATAACTTTGTGATAATGTCAAATTAAGTTTAAAAAAGCATTATCTTTGGCATGGCACAGACGTACACTTATTTTAATGTGAATAACATACTAAAGCAAATCAAGTACTTGATTATAAATCTAACTGTAGTGTGTTATCTATTACATCTACAGTAAATATATTTAAAATTGCAACTTCATCACAAACATGTAATTACAAATATATATAATTACAATGCATACAAGTTTCAATAGAAAGGACTTTAGTTCACCATAAGTGCTTGTCAGTACTTTCAGCAGTGCATCTTATTTCAAAGACAATAGAAGTAAATATGAAATTAAATATAAAGATGTACTAAGGTGGGTCAAAAAATAAAGCACAACAAAGTTCAGCTAAATGCAAACTATAATACACTTTCATTTAATTCCAATTAACATGCAAATTAAGTGTCTGCACTCATGTACATTCTTTACAGTATATTATGTCCATAGTAAGCACTCTTTTTTAAAAGGATGCTAAAGTGTACTTCTCTTTCACGAGGGGTCGAGCTTAAAAAAGGCACACGAAACATGCATAAACGCACAGTGGTCCATTATATGACTTATATGTGCTTAATTCTGAAATGTAGGAACAGACTGGAAATGAAACTGTTATTCACTGATAATGTTCACTGAGAGTGGAGCAATCAGAACCGAATCAACTCGTTCATTGAAAAGACTTAAAAGAACAAAATATTTTTTTTAACTGGACTTCTCTACTTCATTATATACTTTGTCCGTTTACTCATTGCCTTCATCCATCATCACTGATTTTCATTAAACATATTGACTTTAATCTGACTGGCGTTTAAGTCAAGTCAAGTCAAGTCAAATATATTTATATAGCGCTTTTCACAATACAGATTGTATCAAAGCTGCTTCACAGTATCAATCAAAACAACTTAACAGTGTTTGTTTATTACTGGAAAAGACATCCAAGTTTGGTAAAGCTGATCAGTGGTATGATGGGTCATTTAATTTGAATATCCCAACTGAGCAAGCCAAAGGCAACAGTGGCAAGGAACTGAAAAACTCCATCAAGTGACCCGATGGTGTCCTAACTCCATCAAGTGACCCGATGGAGAAAAAAAAACCTTGGGAGAACCCAGGCTCAGTCGGGACCAGTTCTCCTCTGGCGTTTATGAAGTAGAGGCCGAATTTACAGTAACTGTAAGATTAAAAATTTTATATGAATGCCTGGCTAAATAGATGCGTCTTTAGTCTAGTTTTAAACTGGGAGAACGAGTCTGAGCAACAAACAATATCAGGAAGGCTATTCCAGAGCTTCGGAGCTAAATGTGAAAATGCTCTCCCTCCTTTGGTGGATCTGGATATCCTAGGAATGACCAGAAGCCTCGAATTTAGTGAACTTAAAGAGCGCGATGGATTATAGGGCGATAGAAGATCCGTTAAATAGACTGGAGCTAAACCATTCAGAGCTTTATAAGCCAAAAGCAATACCTTGTAATTAATACGGAACTTTATAGGTAACCAATGTAGTGATGATAGAATCTGTGTTATATGATCATATTTTCTTGATCTAGTAAGAACTCTAGCGGCTGCATTTTGCACTAACTGTAGCTTGTTTATTGAAGATGCAGGACAACCAGCTAATAAAGCATTACAGTAATCTAGTCTCGAGGTCATGAATGCATGAACTAACTTTTCTGCATCAGAGACTGATAGCATATTACGTAGCTTAGCAATGTTTCTAAGGTGGAAAAAGGCTGTTTTTGTAACATATGAAATATGCTTTTTAAAAGACAGGTTGCAGTCTAATGTAACACCCAGGTCTTTTACTGTAGCGGATAAAGTAACAGGGCATCCTAATATGTTAAAGTCGTGCTGTGAAAAGTTTTGTGGACGGTTTTTAGAACCGATAAGTATTACCTCTGTCTTGTCTGGATTTAATAAAAGAAATTTACGCGTCATCCAATCTTTTATATCTTTAACACAATCTGTCAATTTGGATAATTTAGCGTATTCATCTGGCCGTGATGAAATATATATTTGAGTGTCATCGGCATAACAATGGAAACTAATTCCATTTTTCCTTAGAATATTACCAAGTGGCACCATATATATTGAGAATAATAAAGGGCCTAACACAGATCCCTGCGGCACTCCATAGTTTGCCGAAGTTATGATCGATTTTTCTCCATTTAAGTAGACGATGGTGATTCTTGCGTAATGATGGTGGATCTTGGAGGTTAAACAGACATAAAATATGGACTGGACTTCTGAAGCGCTGGATCGGAGAACTCACTGATTTGTACGTGCTGGCCAGTGTATCTTCTTTCAGTGGCTCCAACTTTGGACTCTAGAAACACAATTGGTTTGTAAGACATGCTATCTCAATATACATGCTCAAAACATAAAGATTATTGTGTGAATGGATTTGATTTATTCACCTGACACTCCAGTTTGTCGATGAGCTGCTGCAGTCTGTTGATCTGAGAGCACCAGTTTTCATCTGTATCTACGGTAACGCCTGAGACGCAACACACACCAACACTCAGTACACAACTGCACTCGTCAGCAGCAGGGTTATTACTGTTAAAACTATTAAAAACATGTTTGCTTATAAGACATTTAAAAGACACTTTATATTCAGTAATATCAGTTTAACTGCACTGACACTATTGTGTGAGAACAAAACTTAAAATACATTCTGTTGGATAATAACACTTCTGTGGAGCTGCTTTATTGCTGAATCGAATTAATTTAATAATGAATAAACTTTGCAACATCAGCACTTATGGACCTGAATCGAATCAACACTGAACTGAATTGAGCTGAATAATGATACTATTGTCTTCTGTAGAGCTGCTTTGTATTTTAATAACTGAGTTTGCTTCATAATTAATAAACAAATTACGAATATTACATAACTTTAAACTAGCTTTACTATTTAGACATCGGACTGGACGAAAGGCCTGATATTGTGCTGGCTGTTACACAAGTGACTGCATTACTAAATGTTGAATTAATAGTCTGATTCATTCAACCGATTCGCTTAACAACACTGAAACATTCAGTAACGAATTGTCTTTATGAGTGAGTCATTGTATCAATCATTCAACCAATTCTTTCAACAACAACTGGATCATTCAGAAAAGAAACAAGTCTTGATGAGTGAGTTACTGAATGGAAAAAGGTGTGGTTTTGTTTGGAACATTAGTCGTTAGCAAAAACAGACATAACTTGTAATAAATGTAAGTCTAAATGTATGTCTAAAATGTAAGTCGCTTCATAATTAATAACCTTTGCACAGTTCACGCTGTTAATGAACTAAATAATATTGAACTAAATTGAGTTGAATAATAACACTATTGCCTTTTAAAAGCTGTGTGTGTGTGTGTGTGTGTGTGTGTTACCGGTAGTGAGAATGCCCGAGTACGGGTCAGTAGGCGACAAACACATGTTCTTCTGCACTCGACGGCCACATCTTCTGTTGTTCTTCTGTATGATAAGATGCTCCGGGACTTTAACTTCAACCCTACGGAGAAAAAGAGCCCAGATCCTCAGTTAATGTTCTGCATCAAAGCAACGTATAAATATATGTTGTGCTTATGTAAAATGATGTTGTATCAGTAATACTATCGCGCTTAAAGTCCCCCTGTAGTCAATCATTTTATCCTTTAAAACTTATGTTTGATCACCAAAATGACATTTAAACCCATTAAAATATCTTCATGGCTTAAAGTAGCTTGAATGTAACTCGACACCCTTGCCTCATTTAGTATGCGCGGTTCTATGAATATGCAAATTAGCCCCGCCTCCTCACTCCCTCAGCTCAGAGATCCACTGGTTGACGATCACACGTTGATCTGATTGGTTACAAGGTCGTTTGTGACGTCAGAAACACCAGCGATTTCAAACCGTGTTTTTGAGACTGTCTTTGGTTCACTGCAGTTTTAAGCAGAAAATACTCAGCAATGCTGTCGACTCATGAACTTACACATGGTTTGTCCTAAAGCGTATTAAAAACACCACATAGACACATAAACAACATTAAAAGCTGGATTTTCACCACAGGGGGACTTTAAAACTATAGATGCATTCAGATGGTGTTGTTTTCAGTGAATATCCAGCAGAAGACAACGAGTGGATGGCAGATTTGAGAAAGCACAGCTGGAAGAACAGCATCTGTGCATCTGCGTTCTCTACCAATAGTTGATGAGCATAAGCGAATAACATCGAATGTGAATAACCTCGTCAATGTTGTAACCCTGCTGACGTCACACACATATGTTCACATGAGTCAGAAGTCTCTCTTAAGGCTGTTGTTGACCCACTTCTGCTATTATCATCAGATGCACATTTCTAACAGACCACAGCCTCAAAAACGTGTGGAAAAAGCTAGAGATTTCTGCGTGTTTAGCTGGAGATCATCTGCATATGTATTGATTTTCAGTATGAAACTGAAGCTTTGAGAAGTCTTGTGCAGCACTGATTAATTCATGAGATCAGCTGTGTATCGAGAACAGAACAGAGACGTTCACAGCGCCAAACACAATTACAAAATGTATTACTCTTATTATTTAAACATATCGAAAAAACATTTCTACAAAACTTATATAACTTACGAATATTACATAAGTTTAGACTATCTTTACATCGGACTGGACGAAAGGCCTGATATAGTGCTGGCTGCAGTTACACAAGTGACTGCATTACTAAATGTTGAATTAATAGTCTGATTCATTCAACAAATTCGCCCAGCAACACTGAAACATTCAGTCTTTATGAACGAGTCATTGAATCATTCATTCAACCAATTATTTGAACAACCATTGAATCATTCAGAAACTAAACAAGTCTTGATGAGTGAGTCATTGACTCACTCACTCAACCAATTCTTTCAAAAACTATGTAATCATTCAGAAATGAAACAAGTCTTGATGAGTGAGTCATTGAATCATTCACTCAACCATAGGGCTGGGTACCGAGTTCGGTACTTTTTAGGTACCAACCGAATTGCCTCGATACTACCGAGTATCGAAACATGTCTTGTTTTTCGGTACCAAATTTCGGTACCTAAGTGGTTAATCTCGTCAACGTAAGTGAAACAATAAGCATGCAGCATGATTGGCTGTGGCGGAAAAACACTAGTTTACGCGGCTGCCCAGAGACGTGGCTCGTCGCACGTGCGGCTGTAGTGTGTGTGTGTGTGTGTGTGTGTGTGTGTGTAAGCGTCCCAACCCAGATAGATAGAAAATATGTGAAAATGATCCAAAGTGTACCTATGTGCCAGACTCGATACCAGAAGCACGCGATGCAATATTTTCGACAAGATAATTGCTGCCAAGACCGGTAACACGGTAATGATAAGGCACTTAGAAGCGCACAGAATACACTTGAGAGAGTAATGGTGTGTTCACACCGAACGCGAATAGAGCGTCAAATACGCGTCTATCGCGTCTAGTTAGACGCTTGAATCTTCCGCTTGAGTTCAAATTTTTCAACTTGCGCGGAAGACGTTCGTGGCAAACGTGCGTGTCACTCGCGACGCCCGGCGCGAATGATGCGTCTATTCGCGTCTTTGCATTGACTTTGCATGTAATCTACTCGCGTGTCGTATCTTTTCTTCCTTAACAAGCAGTAATGACCACTGACGACTTGAATTAAATAAAACGAACTGTTTACTGAAGTTAATCAACGGGATTACACATTGATACAGCGCACAAACATGGAGTCATTTTTCTTTCTCTCTTCTCTCTCTAGTTCTGTCTGCGCGCTCAGCCCCCTAAGCATTTTGGGTAAACTTTTCTTAAAGCTGAACAACCTTATAAATGACAACACTGTTTCTGTTATTATTAAAGATAATTATTTAAACATTTCTATTCTAATTAATTCACAACATCCTCCCCCCATGAACAAATGTTCATCAACTTAAATCTCTAATGCATAAAGCAATTGAACGGGTCTCTTTAACACAGTCCTTGTGGATGTGCGAACAGCACAGGATCTAACTTTGCCATCTCGGCCTGGAAACAGCTCTTCAATTTTTCCTAATTTCCAGGTTTGTCTCGGCATGTTGGCATCTCCTATGAGAACAATGTCACCCATCTTCAACTCAGTAGGTTTCTGTGTTTTGCAGGAATGTGCAGATTTCAGGTCCAGTAGATAGTCCTTCCTCCAGCGATTCCACAGGTTGGTCATGAGTCGGTTCCTGTATCTCCACCTCTTTGTCATATCCTCTTTACTCACAGTGGGATGATCATAGTCTGCTGGAAATGGTTTTGGAGGCAGTGAAGTGAGTCGTTCACCAACCAAGAAGTGTGCTGGTGTTAGTGGCTGCGGCTCGTCGATCTCATTGTGTACAAAGGTGAGGGGTCTGGAATTCAGTGTGGCCTCTACTTCTGCAAGGAGTGTAGACATTTCTTCAAAGGTAAGCGATGCTTTTCCTAGCACCTTTCTCAGGCTCGTTTTCACAGACCTTACAAGCCTCTCCCAAAATCCACCCCACCAGGCTGCTCGTTCTACAATGAAACGCCAAGTGATGCCCTTCCCTGAGAAGTATTCCAGAATTTGTGGATCTTTGATGGCCTTCCACAGCTCACTAAGGTCTTGGTTTGCTCTCTTAAAGGTTTTAGCATTGTCTGAATAGATGACCTTGCACAGCCCTCTTCTGGAAACAAATCGCTTGAGTGCTAACAAGAAACTTTCTGTTGACTGACTTGAAACCAGCTCCAAATGCACTGCTCTAGTGACAGCACATGTGAACAGAGCAACATAAGCCTTGCATAATGCACTATCATTCTTCACATACAGTGGACCTGCAAAGTCTATGCCAGTTACTTCAAATGGGGGGGTCTCTGATATTCTGTCTCGGGGTAATGGAGCCGTGTCCTGCTGTGCGGGCTTTGCTTTAAATCTTTTGCACACAGTACATTTTGACACAATACTTTTCACAATTTGTCTGCCTCGCAAAATCCAGTATCTACTTCTAATTTGTACTAGTGTGTCTCTCAGACCAGAATGCATGATAAATTCATGGTTGTGCTGAACCAGCAGCTCACAATATCTGTCTTTGTTGGGCAGAATCCATGGATGTTTTTCTCTGTAACTAAAGTCTGACTGTTGCAGTCTGCCTCCAACACAGAGCAATTCATCTTCGTCAAGGAAAGGTTTTAAGTCTCTGATTTTTGAATCTGCATTCAGGGTCTTACCAGCTTTCAGCAAATTGATTTCATAACTAAAGCTGCTATCTTGTGTCACCTTTATCCAGTACTTCTCGGCCTCAAACATTTCATCAGCAGTCAACTCACCTCGCATTTTGGAGCTTGAACTTGTATTGTGCACAAACCGCTTGATCCAAGCGGTGACTCGCAGAACTCGCTTCAGCTTACTGTACTTCAGTAAATCCAGCACAGGTTCCATTCCCTTTTCGTCACTGCCGCTACTGAGTTGCACGATGACCTGCTGACCTTGCTTTAGCTCACTAGTCACATCTTCATCGCTTTGATTTTCATCGCTCTCTTCCAATTGATTCAGTGCAGTCAGAAATGAAGGTCCTTTCCACCACAGTTCACTTTCCTTCAGGTTAGTTGCAGTCTGACCTCTGGTGGGAAGGTCTGCAGGATTGAACTTGCCTTTACAGTGAGACCACATTGCAGGATTAGTTAAAGACTGGATTTCTGAAACTCGGTTTGACACAAACTGTTTCCATTTGTGAGCTGGACTGCGAATCCACTGCAGCACAATCATCGAATCCGTCCACATATGAACTTGATGTAGCTCCAGATTCAGAGGCTTTAACAGACTGTTTCCTAGTCTTGCTCCAATCACTGCTCCCATCAACTCAAGACGGGGCAGTGAGATCTTCTTCAGGGGGGCTACCCTGGACTTAGAAGCAACAAGGCATGTGGTCTTTGCTCCATCCTCAGCTACTCGCAGCAGGTAAGCGACAGTACTATAAGCTTTCTCGCTTGCATCACAAAACACGTGGAGTTGATGTGCGTCGTGTCTGTGCACTGATTTTATTCCATACCAACGAGGAATGTGTATGTGGTGGATCTGTGGAAGTTCTGAACACCATCCTTTCCATTCTTGTGCAAGATCAGTGGGCAGCTCCTCGTCCCAGCCAAGGCCTCGAATCCACATCTCTTGGAAGAGGCATTTTACTCGCACAGTGAATGGGGTAAGAAAGCCTATTGGGTCGAATATGCGAGCAGAGAGCTTTAGAACACTTCTTTTAGTATTCTCTCTTTTAGCTACAGCATCCAGCAGTGCAGTCAGGTCAAAGACAAATTCATCTGTTTTTGTTCTCCATACCAAACCTAGTACCTTCAGCACTGATCCATGCGTTTCTGTCTCCTCTGAAGGTTCACTCATTGTCGTCTTCCATTTCTCCTTCAATGCAGCACAGTTGGTTGTCCACTTGCAAAGGTCCATGCCAGCTGCAGACATAATCTCCCTTGCACCAGTAGTTATGGAGAAGGCATTTTCAACATCACTTGCACTTGAGATTAAGTCATCAACATAAAGTGATTC